ATCTCCCAGAGTGCTGGGATTACAGGCGTGTATCAGCACACCCAGCTCTAAAGAAAGAAAAAAAGAATCTGAAGAGTTCCTCTTAAGCTCAGTTCGCAGTCTCAGAGGCACAGTTCAGAAGCCGAGTGGCCAGGGCTGAGTGGCTCCTTCAGTGAGGGCCCTCGGCCACCTTGGACATGCTGGTCATCTGGGCCGTGGCTCTCAGGTGGGCTGAGCTGGTCCCCCAGCTCTGGGCTGAATTCAGCATCAGACAGTGAGGTGTCCCCTGCTTCTAGAGCCAGGTTGTGGGCTGTCTGGCCTCTCATGGTCACCTTCTGGAGCCTGGCACTGCATCTGTGAAGAAAACAGGCAAAGAGAGAGTCCCAAAGCACTCCCACAGGACCTGGGTCCTCTCTGCAGCATCTCCTGATTCCATCTCCCCGGCCTGGCTCCAAGAGGCCACCCTTATTGTAGATCTGTGTGGCCTCAACTGCGCCAACATCCTACCACCAAGTGCGCAGCACGCAGGCATACTGTCAGGGTGCTCTGAAAAGCTCCAGTGACCCGGACAGTCACAGGGGCAGCAGGTCAGGAGTCCCAAGGTCTAAAGGTCGCAGGGCCCAGGAGCCCCAGCAGAGTGGTGCCGGCCTTCTTTCTGGCCAGGCCAAGCAGGAAAAAGCTACATTTCTGTGCCTGGGAAAACCCTTAGAAGCATGAGATCAACAAGAGTGCTGTGACTACAGGGGCCTTGGTTTTACTCGCTGACCTATTTCCCCAGGAAAAATCTCTCCTGTGTCCCACTTCCCTTGCAAGAGGGTCAGCTTTGATATTTGATGGAAAGCAAGAGGCCAGAAATATTCATTTTTTAACGTTAGAAATTCAGAGATGTGTGGATGGTAGCTGACTTAGTAAATGCTGCTTAATACAGTTTTATTAAATTTCCTGCAAGATGCTAGGAAATGCACTGGCCACAGCGCCATCTCTAGCTCAGACATCCAGGTACTGTCTGCACCAGGACTTGTCACAGGCAGCTCCCTCCGCTGTGTGGGGAGAACCATGTGCTTTTGCGGAGTTTGGCTGGCATGAGGAGGGTTAGCCCAGCAGGATAGCCTGTGGGGTCAGGGCAAGTGCATCTCAATGTCTCTCCAGCTTTCCTGATAAGGTCTGCCCCAGTCAGGGAGATTTTTTTTTTTTTCAGTGCCAGAAGTCAAACTCAGGACCTTTTGCTTGCCAGGCAGGTGCTATACCACTGAGCTACATACCCAGCCCTGGTGAGGGAGAATTCGATGGCTGAAATGGAGGCTGGGTCAATACATGAACCTCTGAAATGTTCCTGAATCTGAGGTGGCAGGAGAGAGGGAAGGGAGGAATCATGACAGGAAATAGCAACGAGGGAGGCAACTGAAGCCTGTGCTTTCCTAGCCCAGCCTTTACCTTTGACACCCAAAACCCCAACATGGGTAGCCTGTTTATTCTAGTGGAGAAGAAGTCTGGTGATGAAGTGAGGCCTTCCATTTCCCAGCATGCCCTGGTCATAGCCCAGCAGCAGTGCCCTTTCCCACAGATCTCTTGGTGGAAGGCTCCCTTGGGGTACAGGCTCCTATTCCTCAGCACCCCAAACATGGTAGGCAACAAAGCAATGTAGATGTATCAGAAAACTGTGGCATCACAGAGAACAGCAAGCTGGAACACAAACATTTTTTAAAAACACAAAAGCCTAATCGGTCTCCTCAGGATGATTTAAGGCAATATCACAAAAAAGGAAACAATGGTATGGCAAGGTAGCTCTGAGGAAGGGGGCCACTGAAAGGAGAACTGCTTAGAGGGAGGGATGAACAATAAAGTTAGGAGAATCTCTTAAAACCGAGAGAGATTAAAAAAAAATACAGGCAAAAAGAAAACACCAGGAATCAGTCCAAAAGGCCCACTCTCCAAGGAGAAAACAGAAAGAATGGAGGGGAGGAAAAAATACCAAGGGGGTAACAGAAAAAAACTGTCCTGGGCTGAAGAAAGATATCGCATCATAGACTGAAAGGACTGAGTGGGTGCAGGAAAAACATCATGTCTACAAATACACTTGGGAAATTTAATAACTGGGGGAAATGCTTCCAGAAAGAACAAATAGCTCTCAAAGGAGGAAAAATTTGTGCAGAATTTTATGGCTTATCCTGGATGCTAGAAATCCATACACCAAAAGGAAAAGTTATTTTGAACACAGAAGTGAATACCTGACAAATGATTCATCAAGAGTTGAGGCTGGGACCAGATTTGGCTCTGCGTAGCCCCTAGCAGGCATGCTGTCCTGGGTGCAATCCTCAGTGCTACAAATAAAAACCCCAGAAAGTTTATATTCTCTCTCTGGATCAGACTCAGGGCAACACACATGCCAGGCAAGCACTCTACAACCTATACAGCCCGCTGAACCCTTTTTGAAAAAGTGGCTTCAGGGCACACTCTTGCCTAACATGAATCAAAATAAAGAAAAAGATGGACGCCAGTGCAAAGTCCCATGATAACTCTGTGGAGCTGGCGTGAAAAGCTGCCAGGCCAAATCTGTGTAGAATGTGTACTCCAAAAGGAAGGTTTCTAAAAAGATGGCATTTAAAGAGAAACAAAGCAGATGGGACGGTGGATGTGCTGAAGGCGTGCTCTTTTCCAAACTGGTTGAGAGGAAGAACTCAGAAACTCTAGAAAAATCAGACTTAAAAAACCTGCACAAATAGCCTGGTGTGGTGGCACAGGTCTATAGTCCTGTCACTCCGGAAGCTGAGGGAGGAGAGCGGTAGGGGGCCAGCCTGGACTATGTGGTGAGTTCAAGGCTGGTCTGAACTATATGTCTAAACATAAAACAAAACAATCAAAAAACCCCTCCACAAGATGTTCATGGTTTGAGAAAGAAAATAAAATGCAACATGATTATGAGTGATTTGTGGACTGTAAGGAAAATCTAACATTTCTGCTAAGAAAATTCTACTTTGGTCTAAGGATCAGGAGTGATCTTACACCAAGAAAATAAAATCCCAGCACACCACTTTGGTTTACAGTGAGCAGTATTTATGGAGCTGTTACAGCACAACAGTCTTTGCTGCTTTTGAACTGTTGCAATCAGCCTATGGACAAAGGACAGAAGTTTATTATGTTAATAGGGTGGAGATGACTGGGTCAGCCTTGCAGAAGTTAACTGTGTACTAGTGGAAGCTTTGGGGTGGGATGGGGCACAGTGACACACCCCAAGCGTGATCATCCCAGCTGAGGCAGGAGGGTTGCTGAGTGCTCATGGCTCATCTGCACCACACGGTGAGACCTTGTCTCAACCAAACCAGACCAAACAAAATCAATGTTGTGAAGTGGGAAGAGGCAGACAAAATCAAAGGTGACGTGCTATAATCCTTCTTTTGCACACAAGGCAGTCAAGAGTTCCCACTGCAAGGTGACAGCTGAATCCAGGCATGGTTGTACCCCCTTGTAATTCCAGCACTTGGGAGGTGGAGGCAGAAGGATGGTTGAGAATTCGAGGCCAGCCTGGGTGCTAAGTGAGCTCAGGGCCAGCCTGAACTGCACAGTGAGACCCTGTCTCAGAAAGACAAGAAAGGCAATGGCCAAAGTACGGAAGACATCATGTGGTCAAACGTGAAGGCAAGGTAGACATGCCCAGGGGAGGGACCAGCAAGCCAACAGGGACACCTGAACACACGTGTGTCAGTGGTGGCAGAAATGCATGATTACCACTGGCTCTCCCGAGCCTGTCACTGTGCCACATGGCTGCCTGCAGATGAGGAGGTAGGGCGGCCAAGGATGGCTACTTCCGTCCACTGGCTCTGATTTTTTTCTATCATGTGCACAATTTACTTTGATAAAATTAAAGTTATTTGATAGATATGAATTGTGTCTTGGGAAAGACATATGATTTTAAAAACCTTCCTGCCAGATGAATCATAAATAATCTTGCTCTGGACCAAAATGGATGTTGCTGCCATGGCTCTGCGGCGTGGCAAGCTGGTCCCTACTACTTCCGGCCCCCGCGTGGCCGGCAGGCAGCAATGCTTTCTGACCTCGCTCTCCAGCCCCCTGCCGCCCTTCATTTTCTTTGCAGCAGTTAGCATTCTCTGTTACATTCATGACACTACTAACAAAAGCCTCAGAAAGTGTATTCTTTCTGTCCATGAGCTAACAATACGTATTGCCATTTATTTATTTTACCTTTTTTGTGGATTTCGTACGGGGTCTACAGGGTCTCACTACCTAGATCCGACTTGTAGTGATTGGCCTGTTTTCAGCCTCCTGAGAGCTGGGATTACAGGCCCATGCCTCTACGCCCAGTCTCAGTCGCTGTTTCAGCGCTCCCTGGGGGCAGGGCCGGCACAGCATGTCAGGGATCAAACCCCAGCCCCCTGTGCTCTGCCTAAGCAGGTGTATCACTATTTATAAATATATAGAAGTGCCTACATTAGGCAACCCAGTAGGCATCTGAAATTTTTTGTTTTACCCAGCTAGGAAAACAGAGCTCCAAAGCCTGGTGTGAGGGAAGAAGTTGATCAGGATGGTTCTGGGGTTCAGATGGGCAGGGAGGTGGCCTGGACTCTACTGCAGAAGCAGCCCAGGGGCCTGAGCTCCCCCGCAGGGCACAGGGCTGCCCCTTCACTTACGGTCCCTGCTGGTCTCTGTCAGCTCCTCTCCGGGTGAAAACCTGGATGGCTTCCTGGTCCTTATTCTCAGCAACCATGGCCACAGGGGGTAGGCCCTCGCTGTCACTGTAGTTGGGGTCAGCACCCTGCAGCACATGGGGAAGGAGGAGCTTGGCATAAAACCCTGACCACAGCGGTCTCCCAGCACCACGCTATGAAGCACAATACAGGTTCTGCTAAAGAAGAGACAGAGTTGGGTGCGATAGTGCACGCCTGTCATCCTAGTATTCTGAGAGGCAGACGCAGGAGGATGGCAAGTTCGAGCCCAGCCCAGGCAACTTTGTGACTTAGTGAGACCCTATCTCTAAATAACAAAGAGGTCAGGGAAGTGGCTTGGTGTGAAGACCTTCTGCTTAACCCCTAGTACTGGGGGAGGGGAGGGAGGAAACTGGAGGAAACGAGGGGAGGGAAAAAAGAAATAAAAGAGAGGAAACTAGGCTGACTAGGAGAGAACAAGGAACCTCAAGACTCATCCTTACTATGATGGACCCAGCTGCCAAGGCCCAAGGAGAGAGACCCCCGACTCCATGCATTAGCAGGAAGCCACCCTTCCCAGCTCAGTTTTTAGGAAATCAGGCAGGTCACACGTGGTCTAGGACCGGGGACTCTGTCCAACCTTGTGCCCATACTTGGGCTCATGCATGCTTGTCCTACTATTTTCTTTGCTATACAAACCAGCAAAGGTAACAATTAGTACAAAGCTTTGGGGGAGCCATTTGTGGGGTGCCCCACAGTGCTGGGAATCCCCCTGGGGCCTGGGCTTCCCCGAGCCACACTGGACTTGCCTCGCTGTTCACCTCGACTAGCAGCTGTTCGAGCACAGAGGCTCTTCCGTCCCCCGCTGCGCCCCCATCCTCCAGCAGGCATCTGCTTCTGGGCTGTAGGAGCACAGGTTATGCCCGTCACTCCCAGGGCCCCCACGCATCGAGCCCTAGGCTGACACTCAAGGCTGAGGATGCTTCCTCTCCGGGCCCAGTGTGGTGCTGGCCACACTGGTGTGTGTGTGTGAATGCACACATGTGCTCTGTGTGAGTGTGTGTGCACACACATATGGTCTTCAAGGGCCAGCAGCACAAACATCCATACCTCCTGCCAACCACAGTCTCAATAACCTTGGCTTGGAATGGACCTGCCACTGACATTGTCCTGTGACCAAGGACAGGAGATGGGAAGAAACCACTTCCACCAGGTACGTTTCTAGGAAAGGAGTGGGTGAGCCCTAGAGAGGACTGCATGGGTCACAGTGCCCGCAGCCACTTATAAGGGACAAGTGCAACCTGCTCCCTGAGAAGTGAGGTGCTCAGCAGTGCCGGCCTGTAGCCTACAGACAAGAGCTCTTCAGACCACAAGTCTGAAGAATTCACGTTTTTTTTTTTTTTCTTTTTTTGGTCTTTTTAAGACAGGATCTCGCCACGCAGTTCAGGCTGGCCTTGAGCTCACTTTGTATCCCAGGCTGGTCTTGAGCTCCCAATGATCCTCCTGTCTCAGCCTCCCAAGTGCTGGTACGGGCATGTGCCACCAAGCCCAGCATCGCCTTTCCTATTTTAAGAGGCTACGAATTCATCTTTATATATAGTGTTTCTATGGGATTTCAAATGCTGGAAGACTGCAGGAAGCAGTCCAGAAAGTAGGACAACATGTTGCTTTCTCTAGGATTCTGCTCACAGGACCAGTGCTTCCCCGGGGCATGAGTGGGGAGAGAATTTACTCCTCCTGCTTCCTGTAGGGTCTAACTTCGGGTCTCCCATTCTCACTTCCACCCTTGGAGCACAAGCTCCCTTGTTTCTGATCCCTAAGCCCCAGGAAGGGCTGGGGGCTCTTTATGTTGAATTCTGTCCCTTATGGGAAATTTGTATGATGTCAGTGTCATGAGGCTGAGCCATCTCTGTCACTCATGTTTCCTTTTCAACACCTAGATCCATGCCCAGAGTGTGTGTGCTCAAAAGTGATCACTGAATTAGTGAATGAACTTCAGGCCCTATGCAAATGAGAAAGAAAGTAAAGGTACCAGGAGACTCAGGTCCCATCAGAGGAATTGGGAGGAGTCTTGAAACTGTACACTGTTAACATTCGGGAGCTTTAAATTTCTCTTTCCTCATTACAATATTTCAAACTGGGAGAAGCACACAGAATCATATACACCACTGAATTTGGAACAATTCTGGTGGCTCCCAAGCTCTGCTGAAGCATGAAAGGACAGAGTTTGCCCAGTGAAGGTTTCTCCCTGGGCCCAAGGTGAGAGAAGGGCTGAGCCCAGACTTCAGAATCACCAGGTGATGTGAGTGTGTCACACCACCAACACCCTGGCTACCACAGGTAGGACCTTGGGCACTGACAACAAGAGGACTCAGGGGCTTTCTGTGCCACTGGTCAAACGCCTCCAGTAAACCCTGTTGTTATGGTTTGTGTCCAGGTGTCCCTCTCCCCCCAAAGCCTTACCCAGTCATTGGGCAGTTTTTGGAGTGTATGATTGATTACTGTGGGTGTGGGTGCTGTACCCACCCTGGGGCAGGTAATTTGCATTACAATGTAAGGAGGGGAGAGCAACTAGCTAGCTGCCCGAGATGATGCCCTTTCCTTTACTCTTTGCTGCCATGAACTGTTGCTTTCTGCCATGTGCCTCTCTGCTGTAGATCTAGCTGAGTGTGGACTGAAACCTCCACTGACTGTGAGCTAAATAAACCTTTCCTTCCTTCATTTTGGGTGTTGGGTATTTGTCCCAGTAACAAGAGAAGAGAGAGACACCTTTCCTGCACAGGAGATATCCTCCAACATGGGACTTCGGACTGCATACCTGAGCTGGGTGCCAGGACTAAGCTCCCCAGCCCTGAACTTGTCACATGACTAGGCAACCAAGGACCCAACTCAATGCCAGACAGAGAGAGGTGGGCAGATAGGGCTGACCCAGGACACATGGTGATTCAGGTAGCTGATGGACACTAACTCTAACACACTATCTGGAGATATTTTAAAGGATTCTGCTTCCATGAAATGAAAATATGTCATTGTAAAAAACAGACAACAAAGAAGAATCCCATGTAGAAAACATCAAAGTTGGGGTCCAGGGAGATAGTGTGGTGGTCTAAGCGTCTGCCTGGCAAGTGCAAGGACCTGGGTTCC